TACCTGAAAAGTTAGTTCACCATCCTGGTGGATCTTATTTTGATCCTAGTAAAGATTTGGCTGATTTAACTAAAAATATTCAAAAACTGTTAGGTAATAGACACCCTTTTTTGAACACTGTTAGTAAATATTATTTCAAATCTGAAGGAAAACGTATAAGACCTTTACTTGTACTATTGATGTCTCAAGCGACAAGCATTGCAGAAAAACAATATAATACAAGTGCAACTGATTTTTATGAAATAACAGATAAACCCTTAACAACTCATAATGATACAATATCTTGTAAAGATTCTATTTATTATCCATCATTTTCATCATCTGGGATGTTTATTCTTCCCACACAACGCCGCTTAGCAGAAATTACTGAAATGATACATACGGCATCTTTACTTCATGATGATGTTATAGACAATTCACAGATACGTCGTAACGATATTTCTGCAAATTCCAACTTTGGGAATAAAATGACAATTCTTGCTGGTGATTTTCTTCTTGCTCGCGCTTCTATTGCTTTAGCACGTTTAAGAAATCCAGAGGTCATAGAATTAATAGCCACGGTTATTGCTAACCTTGTTGAAGGAGAATTTATGCAACTTAAAAATGTTCAAGAAAATAGTAATATGACAGTGTTTGAATATTACATGGAAAAAACATATATGAAGACAGCGAGTTTAATGGCAAAAAGTTGCCAAGCTGCATCAGTATTAGGTGGTGCTACCTTAGAAGTTTGTGACATTGCTTATACATATGGTCGTAATTTAGGACTAGCTTTTCAGGTATAGTTATATACACACATATATAATCATACGTTTTTGTTTATTTTTAATGCTTTATATACTATCTAGTTGGTAGATGACATGTTGGATTTTTTGACCACATCTAACGAATTGGGAAAACCGATAGGTGCGGATTTAAAATTGGGTTTAGCCACAGCACCAGTATTATATGCTTGGAATGAATATCCTGAATTGGGTCCATTAATCAAACGAAATTTTTCTCAAGATGGTGATGTCGAAAAGGTTTAACAAATATTATATAAAAAGAATTGCAAAATTAATGTTTACTGAACCCGAGAATAATATCAAAATTTTTAAGAGATTAATAGCTTACTTTTTTATAGGCTCGAGGATTGGTTTACGAGAGTAATGGAATTGAACAAACAAAACTTTTAGCCACATCACATTGTCAAAAAGCCATCGATGCTATAACACGATTACCAAAATCTGATGCGCGTAATGCATTAATTGAGCTTACACAAAAGGTCCTTACCAGGAAGAAATAACTGACAAAGGTAATTACAGTCAATTCTCTCTAAGTATAACTCTAAACGGAAATACTTATTAAATGCATATTTTTCTTAAGTATGAATATAACTTTCGGAATATAAAATTTTTTTAAGTATATAACTATGAACATACTATTTCTAAGCGATTATGTCTAAAGTTCTTAAAGTGATCAATTTTATAAAAACAAGAATAAAATAAATATGATCCAATTTTAGTAATTAACTTGGTTTAAATATTATTCAACTTCATATGCATTGAAAATTTTATTTAGTATAATTATATTGACAAAAAAATTTGAGTCAAAATTTTTCTATGTATAAATGAAATGAATCTGTTAAATTTTAGATTTAAATTTTATAATTCCTTTTTCTTCGTGACAAATAA